AAGAGTCTAAGGAGGACCCTGATTCCCTATGCCCAGGCTGGCCTAGCCCATCCTCCCCGACTCTGTGCCTATCTGGCCTCCTCCTCCTGCCTCTTCTTCTCCATCTTGAGTTGCTGGTATGGCCAAAGAGGAAGGGCCAAGCTTTGATGCCCTGCAGATCTGGGTTTCAGATGGAACTGGAATGGAGGTGAGGGGGCCTTGGACAGGAGGATCTTGGGAACTTGAAGGCTGGGGCTGGCACTGTCCCTGGGCTGTAGCCACCGAGGGCATATGCTCAATATGCCCTGAGGGCTCTGGTATGGGACAAAGACCTGGGAGCCAGGGACATCCTGGGGGGGCTGGGGTGCCGGGGGAGGGGGTGGAGCAGTGGCTAGCAGCTCTGGCACAGACTGGCTTCGGGTACCCAGGGCAGGTGGGTGGTCGGGGCATAGAGTGTGGCAGGCGGTGGTAAGGAAGGCACTGGCCAGGCCGGTCGTGACAGTCACAAGGTGATCCAGGACACCCCCCTCCTGGGGGGACTGAACATATGGGAAGCTCAAGGTGGCCTGGAGCCTCTCGAGGAAGGAGGGGGTGGCCTGGGCCTGGGCCTGGGCCTGGGCCACGAGCCCTGGCAAGGCTGCCCACTCAGGCTTGTAGTGCTGGCTCAGCTGCTCCACCCGGGGCCGCCGTAGCAGCTGCCGGATCCTGCACACCGTGTCGAAGCTATCCGTCAGCAGGGCCCACTCCAGGGCTGTCTTGCCCCGAACCGGGTCCACTGCTGTCAGGTCGGCACCTGGGCAGGGACACAGAGGTCACATGGTGTGGAGGACGGATGGGTGATTTGTGGAAGGACGGATTCTTTTTTTTCTTTTTTGAGAGAGAGAGAGATTTTTTTTTGCTATAGGACATGTACATTCGTCAGAGAGACAGAAAAACAGACAGAAAGCAAGAGATCACCCCACAGGGGTGACCCCTTCTCTTCCATTCTCCTCTTGGGATGTTGGGCATGCACACACACACGCCTGGTGTGACTTTCAAGCCTCCGGGTCTGGGAGTCAAACTGCCATCGGCCACATGGGAGCCCAGCGACGTAATCATTACGCTATCTGCTGGTCCTGGAAGGGCAGATTCCTTAGCAGCAGGACTGACTTGGGTTAGATTTGAAACCATAGAGTCCCGCCTGCTGAAGCTGGGATCTGGGAGGCCAGTATTGCAGCCTCTAGTTTAAGAAAGATGAAGAAACTTCCGTCCAGAGAGGGGGAAAGACTGGGGAGATTAGTGGGGCGGGGGTCTCAAGCTTGGGGCAGAGTAAGGACCTCCTAAATCCAAGGAGCTGACCAGAGGAGTGGGTGCAGGTTGCCCAGGGCAGGCGGAGGTCCAAGCCACACCCTCTAGGGCAGCGGTGGTGGGTGGTGGGGGCAGAGGTTCTGCCGGTTCCCTCTCCTGGCTCTTCTCATTGCCACTACTCCTGGGAGCTGGGGGAGTAGTGGTCATTGCCATTCTGAGACAAAGGAGGAGGTGGGGGCTCGTCCCTTCTCACTCTAAACCTAGTTTAGTGGGTTGTGGGGGAGAGAAAAGCGGAAGCAGGGGGACCCCCACAGTGACCAGCAGGGGGCAACCTCACCTCATGGACTCCCAGGGCTGTGTGGACTTCACCCTCCAACTGCACATGGCAACCTGTCTCAACTATACATCACTTGTCCCCCGTAAGCTGGGCTCGTCAGAGGTGACGGTCATCCCAGAGACAGCCAATGCATGATATCACATGTGGGCCAGGCCAACAGAACCAGGATCACTCAGTTAGTGGCAGGGCCAGGACTAGAACCCAAGAGTCCAGATACCAACCTTTTCCTTCTAGCTTTCCTAGGTTATCCTCCAAAGCTTCCCTTTCTGGGACCCCCACTCACAATGTAAACCAAGCTATCAAGAGCTGCACTTGGTTAATTGTAAGAAGCCCAAAGCATGCTCCTCTCCTCCAGGAAGTTGGCCTAGATTGATTCTCCATCTCCACTTCTCTCCCCTCTGGTTGACTTAGTGATACCAACCTTTTCCTTCTAGCTTTCCTAGGTTATCCTCCAAAGCTTCCCTTTCTGGGACCCCCACTCACAATGTAAACCAAGCTATCAAGAGCTGCACTTGGTTAATTGTAAGAAGCCCAAAGCATGCTCCTCTCCTCCAGGAAGTTGGCCTAGATTGATTCTCCATCTCCACTTCTCTCCCCTCTGGTTGACTTAGTGACTGAGAAGACTCATGAGAGGGACTGGGGGGCTATGCGCACCTGCCATCAGGCACCCATTCAGAGCGTTTCTTCATGGCAGCCTTTATCAGCGCCGTGAGCCCCCGCTGGTCCCGGCGCTCCAGGTCCAGGCCCGAGTAGTAGTTGATCAGGAGACTCACTAGAGGCGTGTGGCCTGAGGACGCGGAGGATGGAGCTTAGGTCCCCAGGGAAGGGGCGACGAAGTTGCAGGCCCAGCCTCCACCCAGGTTGCGCCAGAGCCTGGCGTGGGAGAATGCCGTGCACCGAGCATTAGGCTGTCTGCACCGGGGCCGGAGGAGGGAGAGGTCGGCAGCCTCGCACCTGCTTGGGCAGCCAGCATGAGAGCTGTGTCCCCTTGTTTGTCCTGCTGGTTTACGTCGAGGAAAGGACAGCGGCTGAGCAGGGCCACAACACTCCTGAAGCCGTGGTAGCACGCGACCATGAGGCCTGTCTGGAGGCAGGGCAGCTCAGCTTCTGAGGTTTCCTCCAGAGTCTCCTTGGGCCCGTACCCTCTGAAGCCACATCTGCCCCAGAGCCCGTCCCAACCCCTGTGAAGACGCATCCTCTCACTCCCTTCCCCAGGACCCAGGTGATGGGACTGACCCTCGGACTCTCAGGCTAGGATGGCAAGGCCTGGACACAGAGCTGCCCCCCACCATCCTGGGAAGCACCTGGGCCTCTCACCCGCCCATTGCCGTCCACTTGGGTGGCCTCTTCTGGGGAGACCCCACCATCCAGCATGGCTTGGAGCTGGGTGGGGTCATTGTGGACACAGGCCCAGTACAGGCTCCCCAGTTGGCAGCCTGGGGCGGGGTTCCCATTGTCCGGGCAGGAAAGTGCCTCAGACATGTCCGGCTCTCCCCTGGGCGATGGTGGCTCTTCTTCCAGTCTGGGGGCGGGAAGGCAGGTCCCTCCTCATGCAGCTGGCATCTACAACAAGAGTGGGCAGGGGCAGGGTCTCTCTGGATTCTCGGGAGGGGGCCCAGCAGCTGTGAACCCAACCCCTGCCCCAGGGAAAGCTCTTATCCTGACAGGTGTCTTGCCCCCTTCGGCAGCAGAAAGGACGGTGGGGACAGACACCTACGAGGACAGATGACTCCGTCAGGACCCCGGTGAGGTTCACAGAGTGGGTGTCATTTTTCCTCTCCCACTGGTCCTTACCTGGGGTTCAGAGGGTCTGTATGAGGCAGTCACCGCCGAGCACAGTCGGGGGCCCACAGTATCCCCCTAGACTCCTTGGAGCCCACTCACAGGGTCTCTGGAGTGGCCTGAGGTGGATGATCCCTCCCAGAAAGCAACGCAGGTAACAGATGG